CCCAGAGACAGCTACACTCCCTTACAGGGAGTGTAGTTTCCCTTGGTGATGAGATAAGAAACAGCCACAGCATTGCCTTGTAGCCACCCTGGAATGTGAGGCTCAGGGTTTCTTTGGGCAGCAGAGGTGGTGCTGGGGGATGGACTCAAGGCTGGGCTGAGGTGCTCCGTGCTGATGCTCACAGGACTGGTGCACCAGTGTATATTAGGAATCAGCTCATGAAATATCTTTGCAGGTTTCTTATAAAACCGGTTATGGTGGCAGGACTGTCCAATGCATTGCTCATGAATTATTTCTTTTTAATATTTCAGCACAAATGTGTGTTTAATTTGCCCCAAGGGGCACAATAAAAAAATGTCAAAAGCCTTACTGAAGAAAAGGTAGACCATATCCACTGCACTCCCCTCACCTACCAAGCCAATCATTTCATTGCAAAAGGCAATGAGGTTAGTCACGTATTTCTCCCCTTGGTGAATCCATGCTGACTACTCCCAAGCACCTTCTTGTCCTTCATGTGCCTGGAAATGGTATCCAGGATTAGCTGCTCCATCACCTTCCCAGGGACTGAGGTGAGGCTGACTAGCCTGTAGTTCCCGGGGTCCTCCTTCTTGCCCTTCTTGGAGACAGGAGTGACATTAGCTTTCCTCCAGGCATCAGGCACTTCTCCCAGTCATCATGAACTTTCAAAGATTATTGAACATGGCCTCGCAATGACATCAGTCAGCTCCGTCCATGTTCATGGGTACATCCCATCAGGGCCCGTGGACTTTCATATGCCCACTTTGCTTAAGTATTCCCTGACCTTGTGGAAGAGGATCAGGTTAGAGAGTACTGAAGCAAAGTGAGCATACATAAATCTGTATACCGTATTACAGAGTAGTACTCATTTTAATTCTGGAAAAACGGTTTCAACACTAGAAAATCTGCTAAGGGATCGGAGTTGCACCATGCATGACTCTGTAAATACATATATATCAAAAAATGCATTTGTTTATTTATATGTACATATTTATTTGCAAAGCTGAAAATTGCACATTGCAGTCCCTACACTGGCACATTCAGAATAGCACATACCCACCCAACAGATGTAAATTCCTGTTATAAACTTAAACACTCTATTTAATAATTGCTTTCTCATTTTGTTCCTGAATTTTTTTTCCAGACAAAGCTAACATGAAGTACTCATCATTATTTTCTCCCTTACCTTTTTTTATAGTAATGAGAGGGGGACAGAGATCAACGTCAGGTTTGGAAGAAAGTTGTGT